TGGCCCTAGTCATACAGGCAAGCCCTTGCCTGATCCCACACAAACAGACACCTACCCCCCACCCCCCACCCACCAGCACCAACACCACCCCACCCCCCCTCTATTTTCAGCCCACAACTCAGCTTTGCATCCCCCACCCTCATTGGCTTGACAGCAGCTCACTCACCACACCTCCTTGTTGGGATAGGCTGGCGGCTGTTCCCTTTCCTGGATGGCCGAGGGCAAGGCACTCTGGGATATAGAGTTCTGCAACTCCGTTTGACCTGGTTTACGGTCCCTGCTGTACACTACGAGTCCCAGCTCCCTCTGCCCTCACCACCCCCACTATCTCCAAGCCTCCTCTAACGTAAGCACTCGGAGCTGAATTATACACTACAGTATGTTGCTAGCAGGCTGCCAGGTATTAAAGTACAGAGCAGCCATGTAGCAGGGCAGAGCTTCGCAGGGGGAAAAAAGCAACAACATTTCAGCCTCAACTGTCAGAGCAGTACTGAAGTCTTTCATCAGCTCACGCTACAGTGACATGGCAGACCCCTGAAACTCCTGCCCTAATTTGTGACTTATTCATATGGTGAGCAGTGTACCAGTGCCACTCCAACATGCCCTCCACACACAACTCACACCACACGGAGCCTTTCAATCGCTGCCATCCCCAAAAGTTGTTGCCATTGCTTTTACCATGTCCGATTGAATTATTTTTGGTTCCTCCTCCTTGTTCACTGCCCCCCCCCCCTCCATCTCTTTCTCTCGCTCTCTATCTCGAGAACCCCCCCCTCCCCTACTCTCCCTCCTCCACCACCTCCACCTCCTCTAAGTGCTTCCACCTGCCTGAAAAGTTAATGCCTTGAACACATCCTATAAACTTTATCTCAAGATTCCCCAGAGGTAAAGAGCAGCACAGAGGAAGTACTTTAGAAGGATTAAAAAAAAAAAAGAGGAACCTTAACTGGAGACTACTGCTGCGACCCACCTCTCCTCTCCTCTCTGGCCAACCCCCCCACCCTGCTCTCCTCTCTGGCCCCCTCCCTCATTCCTCTCCTCTTCTGCCCTGCTCTCCTCTGTTCGACAGGCCCAGGGCAGACAGAAGGGGGGGATGACAGGGTGTCTTTAGCTCACCTGCGATGGCCGTGGTGGTGCTTGTTGTGGGTTAGCTCAGCCCTCTCCTCTCCTCCTCTCCGGAGCTCTCTCTCCCTCTCACTGTTGTGCAGCTTAAAGCCCCGTATGCGCTAACCAAGCAGCAGCAGATCAACTCAATTCCCTTCCTGGTTTCTGGAGGGCAAAGAGGTCCCTCCCTTTCTCTCTCTCCCTCTCTCTCTCTCTCTCTTAAAGAAACAGCATCCCCCCCCTCGCTCTCTTCTCCCTCCTCCCTCCGTGGAATAAAAGTAAAGTGAAAATCATTTTGTGCTAAAACAGTTGACAGTTATCAAAGTAATAAAGTCACTCACATGTAACACCAATCATTAACCCACAGCTTCCCACTCAGCAGTTTCACAGTGAATGTCTTCCAGTGTTCCCCTCCACAGACAATCGTGTTTTCTTTCTTTCTTTCTTTCTTTCTTTCTTTCTTTTTTGGGGGGGGGGAATGCTAAACAGTGTTGTAGTCCGTGTCTGTTCTCACCCGCCTCATCTCTTGCTGCTCCTTTCCTTTTCTCTGTCAGTTGAGTCGCACCCACCCATCCTATTGCCTGAGGTCATGGTGTCCCACCCCAAAAGCAAGTCTTGGCACATTCCAGCACATACACTGGGGGCTGCCAGCAACCCCCCTCTATACACATACACTCTGGCTCTGCACAGTGTTTGTGCATAATACCTGCCAGGCTCCAACAGGTGAGGTATTAGAGAAGACATTTCTAAGTGAAAACGTGTCTTACCCACTGTGGAGAACAGCGAGTTCCCGTGTGTAAATTTACAGTCCGTGTATCTGATGTTGCGCCACTTCCAACCACCCACTGGCACACCCCCTCAGTGAGAGCAAGCCAGCCATTGTACCACTGAGTGGGATGGAGCATAAGATGTATTTGATAATCGTGTTGCACCATGAACCAACCCAGCACACCTCTGAATGCACTTTTAAGCAAGATGTTTTAAGCACGCACATACAAGACACACTTTACACAATGTTGCTGTTTGTGAACAGTCTTTGAGCCACACAGGAGTCCCACAGTGTAGCAGAGCCTGACACTGACTTGGCACTGCACACATGCAGGGGAATTAAGGGCTATTTGGCAGGGTGAGGCAGTGACACACTGTCTGTCTAGAGGGCACTGTTCAGCCAATCTCCACATTAGCACGTGGGAGTTATAGCTCACAAAGTTCAGAAAAACATGTGAATTGCAGTATGTAAACCTTTGATGTTACCACTTGCTATAATTTCCAAAGCTAAGACAAGAGAATGCAGGTTGACCGGCTGTGGCCAAAGCGAAATGAAAAAAACAAACAAACAAACAAAAACCAAACCAGGATATACACATTCACATAAATACATAAAATTTTCACAAGATGCCTTCTATTCAGTTTTGCCCTAATTACCCACAATGAAAATGAGTTGTTCTCAGTCCACAGCAGTCTGAGATGATGTCAGACATTTTTATAGCAATGTCGCTTTTCGGTCCAATATAAACTGGTCCTCCCCAGTGCCAGACACCCCACATCAGATCTGGATTTGTCATTACTGTCTGAATGATGGTTTTGATTATATCTCAACAAAAAAAGAAGGCAGTTAACAAGAATTCCTGTCCACAGACTGCCATGACCTTCTCACAAAAGGTCTATATATATTTAGTAAAAGTAAAAGATTTCTGTAACCACAGGCATAGACTTTTTTGTATAATCTCCAGTTTAGTCTTTAGCACATTTCACATGCAGGTAATAATGCTTAGTTTAATGAAACTGGCACAGGCTATTGTGTCTGTAAACATTTTTTCTTCCTGTATATGCAGGCCCCAAAGTACACTATCAGTGTAACTTGTAACTGTGAATTGCATGTTATTATAGCTTTCGTTCAAAAGGATTTCTAATGTACTAATGAGTGGAGAGAGTGTGTTGAGAGGATGGAAGGAGCACTTTGAGGAGTGCATGAATAAAGAAAATGAGAGAGAGTGGACGACAGATGGAGGACAGTTAGTGAATCAGGAAGTGCAGAGGATTAGTAAGGAAGTGAGGGCAGCTAAGGCATGAAGAGTGGAAAGGCACTTGGTTCAGATGACATACCTGTGGATGTCTAGAAGAGGGCAGTGGACCTTTTGACACTGTTTAACTCAATCTTAGAGAGTTTGAGCCTGAGGACTGGAGAAGAAGTGCACTGGACTGATTTTCAAGAACAAGACTGATGTGCAGAGCTGTAGTAAATACACAGGGATAAAGCTGATGAGACACACCGTAAAGCTGTAGGAAAGATTTGTTGAATCTAGGTTAAGATGAGAGGTGACGATCAGTGATCAGCAGTATGGCTTCATGCTGAGAAAGAGCCCTACAGATGTGATCTTTATTTTGAGAATGTCAATGGAGAAGTACAGAGAAAGTCAGATGGAGCTACACTGTGTCTTTGCGGATCAGAAAAAGCAGATAATTGGCTGCTGAGAGAGGAACTGTGGCACTGCACGAGGAAGTCAGGAATGGCAGAGCAGTATGTGAGGGTGGTGCAGGACATGTATGAGGACAGAGGCAGCGGTGAGGCGTGAGGTAAGAGTGACAGATGGCGTTAAGGTGGGGGTGGGATTACATTGGGATCTGCTCTGAGCCTCTTCTTGTTTGCAGTGTGGACAGGTTGAGAGATGAGGTCAGACAGGACTCTTCAAATGAGACTGTGATCTGTAGTGAGAGTAGGTAGCATGTGGACGAGAGCCTTCAGAGGTGGAGGTATGCTCTTAGAGAAGAGGAATGACAGTCAGGAAAAGGAAGACAGAATACCTGAATGACAGGGAGACAGATGTAACAGTCAAGCTGCAAGGAGCAGATGAGTTTAAATACCTGGGGTCAGCCAACACAAGAGAGGTAAAGCAGAGAGCGCTCCATCGCAAATATAGCAAAAAATATACAACTGGATTAATGTCAGGGGATCTGTCCAGTTAATAGCATTCACTTCTGTCTTTAAAAGAATGGTTACTTAGTTACGGACCAAACACTTCTCTACCAACATTCACCGGGCATGTGTTCATGATCTTTGGTAAAATTTAATAAGGTCTCTAACTCGTTTATTCTGTTCCAGCCCAGTACGGCCACACTGCATTAGAAACACGCAGCGGGTGTTACCAAAATTTTTTCCAATGTGGGTGACCCAGAGGAAATCAGAATATTAGATCAGAAACAAACACAGTACAGAAAACCAGGACAGAAATCATTGTTTGTGTTTTTTTAGGCTCATGTGCAGCTATGTGCCTATAACGTGAAAATTGGCAGAGCCAGAAAAGTGCTTCATATAAAATAACTGTTTAATCATACACATGTAGTAAATATCTATAGTAAAATATCTAAAGTAAATTTACTCATTACGGGGAATGGGCCTTTTCAAAATTATGCATGTTCATTAACAATGTGGACACCTTTTTTTTTTTAATTTTTATTACTCATGTAATACTGAGTACGTTTATCTAAAAAACGCATAATACATTAAAATCTCTAAAATAAGTAAATAAAGCTTTAAATTCAATAATATAGAATAAAATGCACATTATTTGCATACCAAATACAGTGGAACAGAAGTAATAGAGTCTGGAGCCTGGATCTGCCGAAGATTCTTCCTGTTAAAAGAGTGTTTTTCCTTCCCACTGACGCCAAGTGCTTGCTCACAGGGGGTCGTCTAATGGTTATATAAATAGAAACTGAACTGAACAGAACTAGAGCAGCCAAGCGGCGGTGCTCGGCCTCTAAGTTACTTCTGCCTCCGTTTGTTTTTTTTTTGGTTTTTTTAGCGTAGCTTCGATCTGCCTCTCAATGCTAAAGTAACACTGCCCCAAAAGTTTTTAAAAATTACATTAAAAAATATAAAGAATAAAACTTACCGCGCTGAAGTCAGCATTCAGCAGCCTGGATTCCAGTCGCCATTTAGGTGTTAACCATCAAAGTTAGCTAACTAGGCTATCCCTACTCACGGGCACTGTTGCTAGGGTTACCAGCACTGATGTACGGAATTCTGTCAGCCAATCAGAACAGCTCCACAGGCAATAATTAAGAAATACTAAAGCCATCAAGCCAACCCCACTTACTACCTGCCACTCAAAATTCAGACTATGCACTAAAAGTAAGATTTTGTAAACATGTAGCCAAATTGTATTTTTATTTCATCTTTTTTTAATCCTTAGTTACTAATTTCTTTAAAATAAATGATTAAAAGCTGAAGAAAAAGCTAGCTGCAGTTTGCATATCTTAACTATTCAAATTAAAGGGGCTACACTCTCAGGCAGTTTTATTAGACACACCTGTTAATTTCCTCTTTATCTAAACAGCCAATCACATGGCAGCAGCTCAGTGCATTTAGAAAAGAAGTCATAGTTAGGACAACCTGCTGAAGCTCAAACCGAGCACCAGGTTGGAGAAGAAAGACGATTTAACTGACTGAATGTGGCAAGGTGATTTTTCCAGACAGCCTGGTCTGAGTTCTGTAGAAATTGTTGATTTACTGCGTTTTCCCACACAACCACCATTTGCAGAGAACGGTCTGAAAAAGAGAAAATATCCAATGAGCAGTGGTTATCTGGGTGAAAACACCTTTTTTTGACATCAGAGGAGATAGGCCTGACTACTTAAGCTTATAAGAAAATAAAAGTAACTAATTTCCAAGGTGTGCAGAAGAGCAATCTGTGAACACAAAACTTAGTGCTAGAGCAGCAGAAGACCACACTGGGTGCCACTCTTGTCAGCTGAGAACAGGAAACTGAGGATACAACTGACAAAAATTAGGCAACAAAAGAGTGGAAAATGTTGCCTGTTGTGATAAGTGTGGATTTCTGCTGCAACATTTGGATGGTAAAGTCAGAATCCTGCCGTTTACAGTTTAGGCTGCTGCTGGTGTAAATGTGTGTGTGGGGGAGGTGGGGGTCATGACCTGGCACACTTTGAGCCACGCTGAAACGCTACAGCCTGACTGACTGTTGTTGCCATCCATGTTCAGTATATTCATCTTGGCTGCTTCCAGCAGGATAACACACCATGTTAAAAATCCCAACACAGTTGGGTCACAAGGTACCAAGTCAATAAAGCACTTTTGGGAATCAGTAGAACACGACTACAGGAACTGAATGACACCATCATGTAAATATATCCCATAATCTAACCCATGATGAGAATTTGTCATTTCTTTATTTAAGGCATGTGTGAAATTTAAAAAAGGTCCAACTCAGGATTAGCAATGTGTACCTAAAAAAGTGGCCAGCTAGTGTGGATGCATAATGCGGACTTTAATGTCTGCTATAAATGACAAGGAAATGTTGCAATACATTCACAAATAGGTTTTATTTTAAACTTTTTTTTTAATACATTATATCCATACCCAACACATTTTATATTATAATAAAATGACTCTTGTCATTTACATAAATCAAGGATTTGTGTATTAAGACTGCAAAATAGTACTGTAATTTTTGTATATAGCTTTGTACACATACAGGTGACAATGCGTCCATTTTGCTCTTTACAAATGCACATTTTTGGGGGGGATAAGAAAGGGCAGCCATAAGCAGAGGATACAAGAGCTCTAGCAAGACAGCAGGATAGTAAGTAAAACCACCACCAATACTGACCTGGGTTACAATGCTCGGTCAGACCCTTTGTACGACTTGAGAAGTCTGATGTCCCACTTGAAGTCAGGTTGTACTTTTAACAAAATTAACTGGGTTTAATCACAAGGAAAAGCATTTTAGCAATAATTCAACCGAAATCTTTCAAGAGCGAGCCTCCAGGTTGGCTGCATCCAAGGAGAAAGCTCAGAGCGCCACATGTAGCGGTACGGTGAAAATATATACACCTCAGGGGGAAAGTACAGACAGACAACATAGAGAAAGAAAATGTCAAATAAAGCCAACATGATTGAAATCTCTTAAACATTGCAGATTCAGGATTCTGATAAAAACACCACCTAATCATCCCCATCATGAGTTGGGAAACCAAATACACAAACAGTATTAGAAGATAATAAACCATGCTATATTGTCCCATGAATACATTTTTGTTTCCTCAATGTCAAACACATTTTGGCATATAACGGCATGTGTGTCCTCCCATGTGAGACCGAGTGTGGGATGCAAATTGAAATAAATGCTGAAGAAATGATGTCAATCAACACTTAGATCACTGACTAAGAAAATGAGAACATTCAAATTACAGTTTCATACTGTTCATGAATCTGCACACAAGAAAAAGATCAGCCATCAGGAAAAAAAAAAAGTAGTAGTTGTGAGTACCCTCTTTGGTTTGTGACATTGTTCATTTGCCAAAAAAGTGAAAATGACTCCTTACACGCTCATTTGCCCTGGATTCTACTCTCAAACTCGATTATTATATTGCAGGTAATTGCAACAGAAGCTTTTAGCATTTATGATTCTAATTAAAGTAGCTGCATTTACCTTCAATAAAAGCAATCGCGAGTTTGCAAGTAGATAATATGCTTTGATTTCCCTACGATTTCCACCAAATCTCTACAGCAGGTTATTTAATAAAATACAGTCCCATGTGCCATCACCCATTGCCATAGAAAAGGTTAATACAGAATATCTGACAATACAAAATAAGTTTGTCAAAGCAAATTTAGCTGACACACTGGCAGCCCTTCAAGTGCTTTACATCCTCTGTAGCAGTGTGGAAAAATGAGCTGTGGCTGCTCTCAACACTGTCAAGGTGAAGCTGTGGTCTTACAGTACAATGACTCAATGGGCCCTGCTGCTGGTGAAGAAATAACTGGGGAGGGGGAACAAAAACTGTTTGAAGCTATAGCAACAAGAAAAAAGTGCCAATATTTGTGAGAGCTTCTGTGTGTACACGTACAGGATATGCACGTGTACGCACAGAGGTCCCGAGACGTGGCAGGGCAGCGTGGGAGCCCGGTCACTCGGCGCCGCGGGTGGGAGTGCTGGGCTGGTTGAGGCCCATGGTTTTGCACAACCAGCCGGCAAAGTCCACTTCCTCCACTTCTGATCGCTTGATGAATGTGTGACTCTAAGGAAAAATGAAACTTCAGTTTTTATTGTTATCAGAAAAACTAAACAAAAAACAGATGGGTTAAGTATCAAATTAAAAATAATAAAATTATAATAAATATTAGGGGGCCCACCATGAGCATCTTCAGATCCGCTCTCTCAGCTGGGTTTTTAATCAAACTGCAGACAAAAATGAGATAAATATGTTAAACATAAGTAAAATATCCTTTGCATGCATGTCGTTCACCATGTATATGCAGAGGATGCTAGAAGGCCTTGTTCTGTTTCAGAGTTCACCTTAAAACAAGAGTTTACCATGTATGCACGCATGTTCTTTAGTAGTTTTGACATCAGACGCAGTGCAGTATAGACTTTAGACAAGACTGATGTAGAAACATGTGCAACAATATCTCTGTATTCATAGACTTTTTAAAAGGTAAAGAACAGTAGATACTATTCTGGACTATTATGGCAAAAACGTTATTTTTATCACTAGTCCAGACGGGATCTTTATCCGAGTGTGGTGCTGACTTGTTTCCTAACCACCTCAAACCTGCACAAGCACAAAAACTACATGCATGCATTTAATTACAAACAACTCTTGCAACAGGTGTGTGAAGCAATTTGGAAATGTCAAAGTTTTCTGAATAGCTTCCTTTCATAATTCTTCATGAGCTGAGAAAAGAAAGACAAACGTCACATTCGGTGCTCACCATTTTGTCACAAAGTCCTGGAAGTCATTGGTGAAGACACCAAGCGGCAGTTTGGGGGGTGGCTGAGGAGGAAGCAAGAGTTAAAGATTATACACTGACTGAGGAAAGATGTGAGTGTCTGTTCATACTGTGGAAAATAACAGACATTGCTCAGACCTCATTGACAATGTAGTCCAAAAGTTCAAAGATGGCCATGGCAGGTCTGCTGTCCATCCCAGATCCTGTGGGAAAAGAAACAGACAATCTCTGGTTAGTCTTCTTTAGAATACATTTAAATGCTTTAGTTTTAATTTTACTGTGCATTTTCTCAAACTGTACAACAACACAGCAGCTCTCGTGCTGCCAAAAGCTCTGTATGAGCTCTTGTCTCTTTAAGGCAGCCATTATAGTCTGTTGCAGACACCAACAGCTGACACCAGGGCTGAGTAATCATTCCTGAAGTCTGCATGTGTATTTGGGGAATTGTGATGTAAAGTTCAAGTTTGCACATAACCATTTCTCTTTTATTTTTAAAAAAAATTAAATTTAGGTACTGTGAGCCCAGTCATCTCTACTGGACGACTCAACTGTCATGTAAAGCTCTTCAGCAAGGCTAGAGACTAGTTAAGTGCAGAGATTATGTTTTCCCATGAGGATCAATAAAGATTTTTTTGGCTTTATTCAAAATTACAAAGTTGGACCACACAACCAGAATGTGATTGCTCTATTCTCCTGTGGATGCCAGACAGGTTAATGCATGAAAATGATTTCATGCATTACTGTTGCTGAATTATGAATGTACCGTGGGGGTTTTGTTAAAAACATGTATACCATTGGAAGTGTGAACATAGACAGCCCAGTTGCACAAAAGGCCAACCCTCACCCTGTCAAAAGTCACCATCTTCAAATTTCCACATTTTCTGATTGTCCATTGCATTATGATTTTGACATAGCTGTGACCTGTGAGTCAGCTCTGAGCATACAGTCAAAGTAGAGTCAAAGTTGGCATGTTAATTGGCAGCCAAAACTGCCAATTAACATGCCAACTTTTGCACTGCTGTGAGGACAGGATTGTCAAACAACAACAACAAAAAACAAACAAACCCTTACCCGCTAGGCTTCCAGTTCCTCAGATGCTAGGAGTGCATAAAGACTAATGTTTGTTCTTAAAGCCAACAACAGAAAATTTGGTTGAGATATTTCAGAGTTCGCTGTGAGGCATCCACTCATACACTG